ATTTCGTGCTCCACGAAAACTACACTCGCATCAAAAGATCGGAATTATTATTTTTTAATTCAGCATAAAATGAGTACCATGTCGACGGGTGTTTCTTTTTTAAATTGGAAACTTTTGAAGTTGAAAATTTGAAATTTTTTTGGAAATTTTTCCTATCGACATGATACTCATTTTCAGCTGAAATCGGCCCAGAAAACCGAATCTGTGATCAAAATTGCTGTCCATTCAACAGTTTTCGAAAAACTTGAAAATTTAGCCAAAAAACTGGCCAGTTTTAATCATCGACCCGCTAGATAATTTTAATGGCAATTTCCTGTTTTCCAGACGTCGACAGGCGTTTTTTTGAAACATTTGACAAATGTCCCAGAAAGAATTTGACAAAATTAAGCAAGAGGGGACAAAGAAATATATACCAATCGCAGCGAATAGCGTAACGTTAAACCGGTGCCTAGTGTGCAATAGCGAAAACTCCATTTGCATCACCAAATCAGAAGAGGGAAAATCCTGCAAATAAATCTCAACCTCATTAGACACACAAAAAAACACGATTCCCTGCGGAATGGCGAATGCGCCCCGGACAAAGTCCTTCACTTTCAACCCTCCTAGACGATCCCTATCGATTTGAAAGATTCGTTTTTTCGGCAAAAAACGGCAGTCGGTCAAAGCGCACTTGAAAAAATGACGAAACTACCAACAAAAAGAAAATTCTTGTCCGCTCTTAACTTTCCCCAGTCAAGTCAAAATGGTGAATGCGCCCAATATCAACCGATGCTCTCCTCGATTTGGCGAATGCGCCCAATGGTGTCCGGAAACACTCTTACCGGTATAATGTCCGTACTCGGCGTAGAATTTGAAAATCGTCGACCTGCTGGGCAGATGGCCGAAGCGCTGCATCTTCCTGATCACCTTCAGACACTCGACCGAAACGGTGTACTTGTAGCAGGGCAGCGCCTTTTCCAGATTGAGCACCCGCGTGATCTCCTCCAAAATCGACTTGGTGTCGGCGCTCAGATTGTCGGCCGTGATCGAACTGCCCTGCTGCACCGCCATCGAGACCACCGGCGTGATCGCATTGCCTGCAAGCCCCCACCCAATCAATCAATCAATCAGTCAGCCGGCCAAAACTCACCTAAAGCCTGCACGAGAGCGGCCCGATAATAATTGTCGGAAAAGCGATTCTTCGAATTGTCGTTGTACTTGAACAGCTCGAGCAGGAACCGCATGACGTCCTTCGGACAGATCCCGTGGGCGTTTCTGCAAGAAAACCCGCAGGAGTTTTAGCGGCGGAACGGCGCCAGACGGTGCCGCCACCTACCTGAGGCCGGACATCGCGAGCGGAATGTTTTTCTGCAGGAAATAGTGCTGGAAGTTCTGGAAGCTGTTTTGCTTGATGATGTGCGGTGCGGCGAACGAGCCGAAAAACTTGCGGAAAATCGTCAACATCGCGGGCGGCCCCGACCAATTAGCCACCATCGCATTGGCCACCTGAGGACGGACTGCGCGGGTCAAAACCCAGTGAAAAATATTTACTACTCACTTTGGTCAGACAATGGGCGGCTTTGCAGCGCACCTTATAGTAGCACTGCTCGTTTTCGATGGTGTCAGTCAGCGCCATTCGGGTAGCAGGCGTCGGGTACCTAAAACGAAAAAAAATAAGATTAATTTTTGCAAAGTCTTGAGAGCGCATTCGCCAAACTGTTGGGAAAAGTTTCCAGTTTTTCGAAAACCGTTGGACGAACCGCAATTTAAGTCACAGATTCGGTTTTCTGGGTCAATTTCAGCTGAAAATGAGCACCATGTCGACGGGGAAAATTTCCAAAAAAAATTCAAAATTCCGAAGTTTCTCGACGAATTTCATCCGAAAATATCGACAAAAAAAATAATAAAAAATCTAACCTTTCCAAAGCGTAAATGGCCTCGGTCTGAGCCGTGACGTCACGCTCATGCCTCAGCTGATACTGCCACTGATAGTCGGGCTGCTCGATCACCACTGACCTCAGCAGCGTCATTTCGGGATCCAACCTGATCCACAGCACTGGGGAATCACTGCAAAACAATCACCCGTTAGGTTCATCTCTTTTGCTCGCGCAAATCGCCGACTCACTCCATCGCACTCAGATCCATATCGACCTCCTCGCCAGTGCACAGCGGGATCTTCTTCTTCTTGTTGCGCCGGCTTTTCGAGTGGCACGTGATATCCGACTTGACAACCGTGTTCTCGATCTGGAGGTTATGTTTGAATGTGCCGTCGAGCTCCTGAAGGGTGACCAACAGCGGGCCGACATACTTGCGGATGCCCGTTTGCGACGTTGCATCCTGTCTAATCTCCAACTCGATCGTATTTCTGGGGAAATTGCCGATTTTCACTCGCATTCAGCGCTAAATTTCGCGCAATTTACTACTGACCTTTTGCGATTGAATACGGACGTTAGGTGGAATTTCGCGTGTCCGCCCGTGCGCACCCATTGGTCGATGAAAACGGCCATATCTTTGCCGGTCACCGTGAAAATCGCTTTCGTGAACACATTGGTGCTGATCAGCATGTGACCCCACAGGCCGCTACCTATTTTCTGCGCAGCCGCATTGGTGGCCAGCGACAGTTGCTTGTTGAACACCTAC